CAGAATGAATGCATTGCATTCCATTTCCTCCTTTAGTTCTGTTAGTATTTGTTTCAGATATGTTGGTGCTCCTGTATTTTGTGCATATATATTTATAATGGTCCTATCCTCTTGTTGGACTGAGCCCTTTATCATTATGTAATGTCCTTCTTTATCTTTTGTTACTTTCTTTATTTTGAAGTCTGTTTTTTCTGATACTAGAATTGCAACACCTGCTTTTTTCTCTCTGTTGTTTGCATGAAATATCTTTTTCCATCCCTTGTCTTTAAGTCTGTGCATGTCTCTGGGTTTGAGGTGAGTCTCTTGTAAGCAGCATATGGATGGATCTTGCTTGTTTATCCATTCTATTACTGTGTGTCTTTTGATTGGTGCATTCAGTCCATTTATATTTAGGGTGATTATTGAAAGGTAGTACTTATTGCCACTGCAGGCTTTAAGTTTGTGGTTACCAAAGGTTCAGGGTTAGCTTCTTTAGTATCTTACTGTCTAATTTAACTCGCTTTTTGGGCTATTATAAGCACGTTATGATGATTCTTTATTTCTCTCCCTTCTTATTCCTCCTCTTCCCTTCTTCATATGTTGGGTGTTTTGTTCTATGCTCTTCTTAGGAGTACTCCCATCTAGAGCAGTTCCTGTAGGATGCCCTGTAGAGGTGGTTTGTGGGAGGCAAATTCCCTCAACGTTTGCTTGTCTGGGAAGTGTTTAATCCCTCCTTCATATTTGAATGATAATCGTGCTGGATACAGTAGTCTTGGTTCGAGGCCCTTCTGTTTCATTGCATTAAGTATATCATGCCATTGTCTTCTGGCCTGTAGGGTTTCTGTTGAGAAGTCTGATGATATCCTGATGGGTTTTCCTTTGTAGGTAACCTTTTTTTTCTCTCTGGCTGTCTTTAATACTTTGTCCTTGATCTTTGCCATTTTAATTATTATGTGTCTTTGTGTTGCCCTCCTTGGATTCCTTGTCATGGGAGTTCTGTGTACCTCTCCGGTCTGAGAGGCCATTTCTTCCCCTTGTTTGGGGACGTTTTCAGCAATTATTTCTTCAAAGACACTTTCTATCCCTTTTTCTCTCTCTTCTTCTTCTGGTACCCCTATAATGCGGATATTGTTCCGTTTTGATTGTTCACTCAGCTCTCTTAGAATTCTTTCATTCCTGGAGATCCTTTTATCTCTCTGCATCAGCTTCTCTGCATTCCTGTTCTCTGTTTTCTAGTCCATTAATGGTCTCTTGCATCTCATCCATTCTGTTTTGGAGTTCTTCCAGAGCTTGTTTTATTTCTGTATTTTCCTTCCTTAGTTCTTGCATATTTCTGAGCATTTCTGTCAGGATGGTTATGACTTTTGTTTTGAATTCTTTTTCAGGAAGACTGGTTAAGTCTATCTCCCCAGGTTCCTTCTCAGGGGAAGATGTAGCAGATGCCGAAGCTGTCTGGGTTAGTCTTGTCTGGATCATATTTTTTTGCCTTTTCATGTTGATAGGTGATATTGACTGTCAGCTGGGGGGGCCAAACTTTCCACTTGCTACTGGCCTTTCTTTACTGTGACAACTGCGACCCTTAGTGGCTTGTGTTAGGTAATTGCGTGTAGACTGGATCTTTGTGTGTTTCCCGGCCAGTATGGAGGAAGCTCCCTTTCTGAGGGCGTGGCCAGCCTTAGGCTGCTTCTCTGCTTTTGCCTCGTCTTGGTGGGGTAATGGATGGGGGGCTGTTTGGCTGTTTACCTCCGTGAGGGGTCTTGAAGCTGTTGCCCAGGGGGCTAGTGCCCCCGATTTTCCCTGCAATTTCCAGCCACTGGACTGTGACCCGTGTTGTTTCCATCCAGCTGTTGCATCCCTGTCCCTTTAAGACTTTCAAAAAGCACTCTCTTTTCTTTGTCACAGGGGCGTCAGCTTTGGGACCTGCTCACCGGTCCTGCTGCCCTTTTCCCCTAGTATCCAGGACCCCACGCATGCACTGTGTCTGCGCTCTTGTGCGGATGGCTGGGGCTTGGTGTTCAGCATTTCTGGGCTCCCTCTCCCTCCCCGCTCCGACTCCTCTTCTCCCGCTGGGAACTGGGGGGAGGTGTGCTCGGGTCCCACTGGGCTGGGGCTTGTATCTTACCCCTTTCACCAGGCACTGGGCTCTCGCACGTGTGGATGTACTCTGGCTGTTGTCCTGTGTTTTCTGGTCTCTCTTTTAGGTTTAGTTGTATTTGTTGTCTTTTCAAAAATATATATGTTTTCTGGAGGAGATTCCCACTGTCCTACTCTCGCTGCCATGTTGGCTACGCCCCTGGATGATTTTTGTATATTGATCTTGTATCCAATAAACTGTTGTTTTCTTGTAAATTCCATCAGATTTTCTACATAGGTGATCCTGTTGTTTGCAAATAAAGACAGTTTTACTTCTTCCTGTTCAGTCTTGGCACAGTTTATTTTTAATTACTTTGCCTTATTGTATTTGTTTGAATTTCCAGTACAATATTGAGTAAAATTGTTGGGAGCAGAAATAGTTCGTTTTTTTCCTGATCTTAGAGGGAAAACATCCAGTGTTCAATTATTAAGTATGATGTTAACTGTAGGTTTTCATAGATACCTTTTATCAGGTTGAGGAAGTTCCCCTCTATTTCCAGTTTCCTGGTAGTTTTTAATCAGTCATGTGTGTTGAATTTGGTCATATGGTTTTTATGCACCAATTAAATTATCAATTTTTTTAGTTTGTTATTAAGATGGTAACATTGATTTTCAACTGTTAAAACAACAATGCAGTCCTGGGATAAGCTCTGCTTGGTCATGATGTATTCTCCTTTTTATAATAATGTTAGGTTTGATTTGGTAACAGTTCATTTAAGAATATTTGTACCTGTGTCCATGCATGATATTGGCCTGTAGTTTTCTTTTCTTGTAATACTTTTGATTTTGCTATCAGGGTAATGCTGACTTCATAGGAAGAGTTGAGAAATACACCCTCCTTTTCAGTTTTCTAGGAGAGTTTGTTTTGCCCAGTTATATTATTTTTTCCCTAAGTATTTTGTAGAGTTCACCAGTCAAGCCATCTGGGGCTAAAGTTTTATTTATGGGAAGGCTTCTAAATTATAAACTCAATTTCTTTCATAGACATAAGGCTTTTGAGATAATCTATTATTTCATGTTTGGGCTTTGTTAGTTTGTGTCTTTCAAGAAGTTTATGTTTCTTCTTAAGTTGTTGAAATTATTGGTCCAAAGTCATTCATTATAACATCTGTATTACCCTTTTAACATCTGTAAAATCTATAGCAACAACACCTTTCTTATTCCTGATATTTGTAGTTTGTGTCATCTCTCTTTTTCTCCTTGTCAGAGTGTCTAGAAGCTTATCAATTTTATTGATCTCCAAGAACCAGCTTTTGGTCTCAATTTTTATCTATTTTTCTGTTTTCTATTTCATTTGTTTATGTTCTAATCTTTACCATTTCCATTCTCCTGCTTACTTTGATTTCATTTGCTCTATTTCCAGTTTCCAAAGGTGAAAACTGAGGTCATTGATTTAGGACTTTTATTCTGGTCTAATATAAACAGTTAAATGGTACCTTAGTGACAATACACAAATTTTGATATGTTGTATTTTCATTTTAATTCAGTTCAAAATACTTTCCAATATGACTTTTGATTTCTTTTTAAACCCATGGATTATTAAGAAGTATCTTATTTATTTTCCAAATATTTGCAGATTTCCAGAGAACTTCCTTTTATTAATTTTCAGTTTAATTCCATTGTAGTTAAAGATCATACCTTTGTATGACTTGAATCCTTTTAAATATGTTAAGGCTTATTATATGGCCCAAACTATTGTCTTTATTGGTAAATGTTCCATGTATACTTGAGAAGAATGTATACTTTTCTGGTGTTGGGTCACATGTTCTATAAATTTCAGTCAGGTCAGGTTGATCAGTAGTATTAAGTCTACTATATCCTTGCTGATTTTCTACTTGCTCTATAAATTACTGAGAAGATATTGAAATCTTTGACCATACCTGTGGATCTGTTCATTTGTCCTTGCAGGTCTATCAGTTTTTGCTTCTTATATTTTGAAATTTTGTTATTAGGTACAAAAATATTAGGATATTATGTCCTCATAATGAACTGATTCTTTAATCATCATGAAATATCCTATCACTGGAAATAGTCTTTACTTTGAAATCTATTTTGTCTGATATTAATATAGCCTTTCCAGCTTTCTTTTGATGTATCTTTGCCATACTATATATTATCTTACCCTTTTTCTCTTAATCAATTTTGTCTTTATATTTAAAGCATGTTTCTTGTAGGTACTATGTAGTTGGAGGTTGCTCTCTTTAATCCAGTCTATCTCTGCTTTTTAGTTAGATCATCTAGACCACTTATATTTAATGTAATTATTAATATGGTTAGGTTTAAATTTACTATCTTGTTATTTGTCTTCTATTTGTCCAGTCTATTCTTTGTTGCCATTTTTCTTATTTCTGCTTTCTTTTGCATTAATTGAATATTTGCATATTATATTTATCTCATTTTCTGGCTTACTAGCTATAACTGTTTTGTTATTTTAATTGTTACTTAAGATCTATAGTATACTTATTTAATTTATTATTGTCTATCTTTAAGACAAGTGGAATGTAATACCACCATTCTTTTTTTACTTCATTCTGTAATATAATCCATTTTATGGATGTTTGAAAATGTATTTAGCCCATCCACTATTGATGGAATTTAGGTTTGTTCCATGTTTTCCTTCTATAAAAATTGCTGGATAAGCATTTCATATGTCTTTGCTCACTTTTACAAATATATGCACAGGATAAATTCACAGAGGTGAATTGCTCAATTGGGTATTTCTGTGCCATTCAAGTCCTCCCTGGCAGTTTAGATATTTAGATGTGTTTATGAACTCATATTTTAAATATATTAGTGCTTTTAAAATGAGTTCCCTTGTGGTATAATGAACCATGCTGTTATCTTTGATAAAAGTATCTAATTTTTGAAATTGTTTCCTTGTTTTTCAGCTTTGCAGGCAATTACTGCTTTCGAGGATTTCTTAACAGCTAAAGAACCAGGAAAGAAGGGCCTATTTGTAGAAAGAGATTCACCTGTCATGCTCCTCGGTTTAGCTGCCCAGTTTGCTCTAGAGGTAATTCCTATATTATCTATGAGATTTTTTACCTCTTTCCCATTGTGAGGGACAATTAATGGAATCATTCGCAGTTAGGCACAGGTGTGTCCTTCCTTTACTTTTCATTTTGCCTCATATTTTCACACCTATTTCAGTTGCAGAATTGCTTCATTCTTTTCATTTCTTTATAATGTATGATATAATAAATTAAACAAAATAAGTTAACAGATTTGTGCTTAAAACTAAGAGAAAGTAAACATAGCAATACATTAATTTTTAAAAGAAACTCCAGATTCAAAATGCTATAGCATGTAAACAAGTAGTTATCTATTTGGAAACTTACTGTTCTCATCAATTTGGAAAAAAAAGTTTAAATCTCTCTGGACATTTTTAGTTTATAAGCATTAAACAGCTTTAGTTAAAAGTAATAAATTCTTGCACCCATGTTTTTCACTTGGGAAATTCTGGTCTTACTGTTCTCATCAATTTGGAAAAAAAAGTTTAAATCTCTCTGGACATTTTTAGTTTATAAGCATTAAACAGCTTTAGTTAAAAGTAATAAATTCTTGCACCCATGTTTTTCACTTGGGAAATTCTGGTCTTAGCACTATATAGCACTATAAAAAGCATTGTAGCAACTGTGGAGCTCATGTACTGGGTATTAGATTGGGTTTAAGTACTGGCTCTGCCACTTAAGTGCTTAATTTCCTTGAATCTTAATTTCAACATTTGCAAAATACTACTACCAAGATTGTGATAATTAACTGAGAAAATCACTGAAAATGCGATTTGTGATCTATGAAGATTGATCTACAAGTATAGTATTTCTGTTCTTATTAATGTATATATAATCTGGCCACAGCCATCTCTTCTACTTTATCTCATATTACTCCCCTATATCATCATCATAGTAATATAAGCCACCATTATATTACTAGAATGATGGAGACATAAGCCCTCCATCACTGCAGAAAAACATAGTGTCTCTCGAACAGTCACATTCCTTTTTCCATATCTTGTTTATACCATCCCATCCCTTAAAGAATGTCCTTACTTATTTAAATGCTACCCTTTTCAAAGCCTAGCCTAAGGTTTCTTTCCACTATAGAGACTTCCCAAATCACTTCCAGTCCTCAGTGCTCTCTTCCTACTCTGAATTTCACTAATTTTTAACATATATGCTAGTTTTTGGTCTTTATTGTATATACTGCCTTATATTGCTATATATGGCTTGTCTGCCCAAATTGACTTATGAGAACCTTGAAGACCATATTTCTAGCAATTAGTCCAACATCTTGCCCAAAGTAGTTGCTAAATACACTTTGAATGACACATATTTTGATGTTAATGAGTAGGGTAATGGAACTCATGGAGGAGTTCCTGAAACATATTTGGCAGATGCAGACACAGGATGTGTTTGTACAGGATAGTGAGGAGGAAGAAATGAGAAAATTTCAGTAGTGGGGAACCCAAAGGCAACTATATTTTTAAAGGAAGGTTTATAAGTTTATATGTCATATAGAAAGCACAATAAAGCCAGTGGAAGAACTATGGAATTGTATTTCTGAAAAGAAAATGGTTTAAATAGAGAAAGAATCAGAAGAAGAAGACCTAAAGTAGTTTAAAGTAGAAGATGGAAGGAAGGATAGATGAGCCAAACCAAGGAAACTGAAGATGCACCTACAAAACAACAAGTGTAGAATCCAGTTCTCAATCACTGCAGTTGTTGTACAAAAAGCATTTCAAGTGCTAGTGAGAATATAATTCATTTGGCAAATACTTACTGAGCACTTACTATGTGCCAGGCACTGTTCTAGGCTTTGGGGATGAGTAAAGAAAACAGTGATAGATATTCTTAGATCTTATCTTCAAGCAGGAAAAGAGAAGATAATAAACAGTAAGCATAATAAATAAACAAACTATATAATATGATAGAAGTTGATAGGTGATATAGAAAAAAATGCAGCATAAAAAGGATCAAGGAGAGGAGTGTGCTGGGATTATTTTAAGTAGTGTGGTGAGGATAAAATAATACAGTTATTTTATTTTATTTTTTAAATATATTGTTGGTATACACTCTTATGAAGGTTTCACATGAAAAACAATGTGGTTACTACATTTACCCATATTATCAAGTCCCCAACCATACCCCAATCCATTCACTGTCTATCAGTGTAGTAATATGCCACAGATTCACTATTTGCCTTCTCTGTGCTACACTGTTCTCCGTGTGTTCCCCCACACCATGTGTACTAAACATAATACCCCTCAATCCCCTTCTCCCTCCCTCCCCACCTGCCCTCCTACAACCCTCCCCTTCGGTAACCACTAAGCGCCTTGGAGTCTCTGAGTCTGCTGCTATTTGTTCCTTCCGTTTTGCTTCATTGCAATACTCCAGAAATGAGTAAAATCATTTGGCACTTGTCTTTCTCCGCCTAGCTTATTTCACTGAGCATAATGTGCTCTAGCTCCATCCATTTTGTTGCAAATGGTAGGATTCGTTTCTTTCTTATGGCTGAATAGTATTCCATTGTGTATATGTACCACATCTTATTTATCCATTCATCTACTGATGGACACTTAGGTTGCTTCCATTTCTTGGCTATTGTAAATAGTGCTGTGATAAACATAGGGGTGTATATGTCTTTCTGAATCTGAGAACTTGTATTCTTTGGGTAAATTCCAAGGAGTAGGATTCCGGGGTCAAATGGTATTTCTATTTTTAGTTTTTTGAGGAATCTCCATATTGCTTTCCACAATGGTTGAACTAGTTTACATCCCACTAGCAGTGGAGGAGCGTTCCCCTTTCTCCACATCCTCACCAACATTTGTTGTTCTTAGTATTTTTGATTCCAGCCATCCTAACTGTTGTGAAGTGATACCTCATTTTGGTTTTAATTTGCATTTCCCTGATGATTAGTGATGTGGAGCATCTTTTCATGTGTCTGTTGGTCATCTGAATTTCTTCTTTGGAGAACTATCTCTTCATATCCTCTGCACATTTTTTAATTGGGTTATTTGCTTTTTGGGTGATGAGGGATGTGAGTTCTTTATATATTTTGGAAGTTAACCCCTTGTAGGATATGTCATTTACAAATATATTCTCCCATGCTGTAGGATGCGTTTTTGTTCTGTTGATGGTGTCCTTTGCCATACAGAAACTTTTAAGTTTGATGTAGTCCCATGAGCTCATTTTTGCTTTTGTTTCCCTTGCTCAAGAAAATACGTTCAGGAAGATGATGCCCATGCTTATATTCAGGAGATATTTGCCTATGTTGTGTTCTAGGAGTTCTATGGTTTCATGACTTACATTCAGGTCTTTGATCCATTTTGAGTTTACTTTTATGTATGGGGTCAATGATCCAGTTTCATTTTCTTGCATGTAGCTGTCCAGTTTTGCCAACAACAGCTGTTGAAGAGATGGTCATTTCACCATTGTATGTCCATGGCTCCTTTATCATATATTAATTGACCATATATGTTTGGGTTTATATCAGGGCTCTCTAGTCTGTTGCATTTGTCTACTGTTCTGTTCTTGTGCCAGTACCAAATTGTCTTGATTACTGTGGCTTTGTAGTAGAGCTTGACATTGGGGACCATAATCCCCCCCCTCTTTATTCTTCCTTCTCAGTATTGCTTTGGCTATTGAGGTTCTTTTCAGGTTCCATATGAATTTTAGAATGATTTTCTCTAGTTTGTTGAAGAATGCTGTTGGTATTTTGATAGGAATTGCATTGAATGTGTAGATTGCTTTTGGCAGGATGGCCATTTTACCAACATTAATTATTCCTATCCATGAGCATGGGATGTGTTTCCATTTATTGGTATCTTCTTTAATTTCTCTCTTGAGTGAAATTGAAAGTGCATTTGCTTAGGTATTTTATTCTTTTTGATGCAACTGTGAATAGAATTGTTTTCCTGATTTCTCTCTCTGCTAGTTCATCATTAGTGTATAGGAATACCACAGATTTCTGTGTATAATATTGCATCCTGCAACTTTGCTGAATCCAGATATTAGATCTAGTAGTTTTGGAGTGGATTCTTATGGTCTTTTATGTACAATGTCATGTCTTCTGTAAACAGGGACAGTTTAACTTCTTCCTTACCAATCTGGATGCCTTTTATTTCTTTGTGTTTTCTGATTGCCATGGCTAGAACGTCCAGTAGTATCTTGAATAGAAGGGGGGAGAGTGGGCATCCATCTTGTTCCCAATCTTAAAGGAAAAGCTTTCAGCTTCTCGCTGTTAAGTATAATATTGGCTGTGGGTTTGTCATATATGGCCTCTATTATGTTGAGGTACTTGCCCTCTGTACCCATTTTGTTGAGAGTTTTTATCATGAATAGATGTTGCATTTTGTTGAATGCTTTTTCAGCATCTGTGGAGGTGATCATGTGGTTTTTGTCCTTTTTATTGATGTGGTGGATAATGTTGATGGATATTCGAATGTTGTACCATCCTTGCATCCCCAGAACAAATCCTACTTGATCATGATGGATGATCTTTTTGATGTATTTATGAATTCTGTTTGCAAATATTTTGTTGAGTATTTTTGCATCTATGTTCATCAGGGATATTGGTTTGTAATTTTATTTTTTGTGGTATCTTTGCCTGGTTTTGGTATTATAGTGATGCTGGCCTCATAGAATGAGTTTGGAAGTTTTCCCTCTTCTTCTGTGCTTTGGGAAAAGTTTTAGGAGGATGGGTATTATGTCTTCACTAAATGTTTGATAAAATTCAGTGGTGAAACCATCTGGACCAGAAATTTTGCTCTTAAGTAGTTTTTTGATTATGTTCAATTTCATTGCTAGTAATTAGTCTCCTCATATTTTCTGATTCTTCCTTGGTCAGCCTTGGAAGCTTGTATTTTTCTAGAAAGTTATCTATTTCCTCTAGGTTATCCAGTTTGTTAGCATACAATTTTTCATAGTACTCTCTAATAATTCTTTTTATTTCTGTGGTGTCTGTAGTGAATTTACCTTTCTCATTTCTGATTCTGTTTATGTGTGTAGACTCTCT